GTCATGTGGTGTGGGTGGTCAAAGAAAAAGATTGAACAGGAGGAGGTCAATCTAATCAAACTAATCTATAGAATGATGAGGAAGAGAAATCACTTGTTAACTTAATCAACTATTTATAATTATTAGGATCAAATCCTGAAAAAGGTAACTTACATGATGAAATGAAATTGCTTTTGTTTTGACAAAGGAAAAGAAAAAGGATGAATCTAATAAAGTCCCAAAAGGAGTATACATGTTGATTGATGAATCTTGTTAAATGTTATTGGTCCATCTCCAGCCAAAGAAAGAAAAAGAAAAGTAAAACTAGAAAATGATGTATCTTTCTTCTTCATCTTTTTCTTTATGTCAAATAATAAATAAATAAATAAAACCTTTTTTTTTGGGTACGTTAAAAGTTTAGGAGGAGGGCATGCTAGCCCATCCCAGAGTTGAAGCATACTAAGGCCTCTTTGAGGACTTACATTGGGGTCTTAGCCCATTTTTGGATTTTTATAGATTACCCACCAAGATGGATTGTCGGCAACGGGACTCAAACCTAAGCGAAGAAAACACTCCTTACGAACTCAACCAATTCTCGTTGGTAAATAAAACCTTCATCATCTCCCGACTGGACCAACTCACGTCCCCATCACCTTTACTGGGCAGGGCCTACGGTCTTTGGGCCAGAGAGAGCTGACGCTAAGTCCCCCCTCCCCCCAAACCTAACACTTTTGTCAGAGAGAGAGAGAGAGAGAGAGAGAGAGTGAGAAGAGTTCCGTTCAAGTTCAAACATCAATAATGAAAGGTGATCAACCCCTTCCCTTCTTCATCTTCCTCTTTCAAATATAAACTTTCTCTAAACCCAATGCTCGTGGGGGGTCATAAAAATCCAAGTTAACTTAGCATCCGTGCGATGCAACTTTCACTGTGTCACATTAAGGCTCCTCATACATGAAGAAGCCTTCTTTTTATTTATTTTTATTGATTCATTGTAATTATTTACCACCTTCGCTTTGCATGAATTACTTATCGAGAATAGATGGTTTTTGTTTTTGTTTTTCATAAAGTGATACTTTAAACTACTCTAAAATTGAAATCAAATTCGAGTGCAAAAGGACAATGCATTATCTTTGGTCAACTACCCTAACCCTAAGGTAGTTCTTGCATAAATGCTTATTGTGTTAGAATTCGACCAAACAAATGTTAGAATTCAGAAGACCACGTCCTTGGTTATGTTAGTCCACACAATCAGGGGTAAAATAGTATTTCACTCGAATAGCATTTAGGAGTTGCCTGGTCTCGCGGTACTAGTACGGCAGGTAAGCTGATGATGAATGTTCCTGTAGTGCGGGACCCGCCGCATAGAAAGATAGCCGTTGGGATGAGGAGCCATTTTTTGAAAGGCAGCAATAAAAAGACCCGAACTTCAACCCACGAGATCATCGAGATGGTCAAAGACCCAAAATAATATGCATAAAATGCATGGAGATGGAGAAGATAAAAATAAAACAATCTCTAAACCAAAAAAACCAAGCCAATGCCATTATTATTCACTAAAAGAAACTAGCCGTTAGAGAGGCTTTCTAAGCGGATGCCGATGAAGAGCGTCTGTCACCCACATGACATTTTCTCTCTCCCAATACAAGATTCTCTCTCTCTCTCTCTCTTTCTCTCTCAAGTCTGATGATCCTCACGTGCCTTTCTCACAGTCACTAAAACACCCACCTCCCAGCTTTCAGTACTTAATCTTCTCCCAACTTATTTTGCTCCTGTTTCATTCCTTCCTCTACTCTCTCCCCAACATTTGGAAAAACCACAACCAAACTAGAAGAAGAAGCCAACGTATTGTTCCATCCATTTCTTCTTTTTCTTTTGGTGTGTTTGTGGTCATGGATTACCCATTTCAGACTTTTCAGTTTCTCAAAAAAGGAGCCTCTGATTGGCGCCGGATTTCACATAAGAAGAAAGAAAAATGGAAGATCCTTCATTCCAAATGCACCCATTTTATCTTCTTTCTTCAGCTCCTGTTCTGTGCCCTCCAGCCAGTCAGAAGCGAAATCTGGGATGGTGTCATTGTCACAGCAGCTGATTACCAAGCTCTTCAAGCTATCAAGCACGAGCTAGATGACCCAAAAGGGTTCTTGAGGAGCTGGAATGACAGCGGCTATGGAGCTTGCTCCGGTGGCTGGGCTGGGATCAAGTGTGCTCAGGGGCAGGTTATTGTGCTCCAGCTTCCATGGAAGGGATTGGGTGGCAGAATCTCAGAGAAAATAGGCCAGTTTCAGGCGCTTCGAAAGCTCAGCCTCCACGACAACCAGATTGGGGGTCCAATTCCTCAGTCGCTGGGCTTCCTTCCAAACCTCAGAGGAGTTCAACTATTCAACAACAGGCTCTCTGGTTCAATTCCTCCTTCATTGGGTTTTAGTCCTCTGCTTCAGACCGTTGATCTTAGCAACAACTCTCTCACTGACAAAATCCCAGATAGTCTTGCAAACTCTACCAAGCTTTACAGGCTCAATCTGAGCTACAATTCATTTTCTGGTTCTGTCCCAGTTAGTTTCACTCACTCACATTCTCTTACCTTCCTTGCTCTGCAACACAACAATCTCTCTGGTCCTGTCCCAGACTCATGGGGCAGCACTGGAACACAAAACAGTCACTTATTTAGACTTCAGTCCTTGACCCTTGACCATAACTTCCTCTCAGGAAGCATCCCTGCTTCTTTAGGCAAGTTAAGTGAGCTTGAAGAGGTTTCTATTAGTGGAAACCACTTCAGTGGAGCCATACCAAATGAAATAGGGAGCCTCTCTAGGCTTAGAACACTAGATTTTTCTAATAATGCCATCAATGGAAGCTTGCCTTCTAGTATCTCTAATCTCTCCTTACTTGTTCAGCTAAATCTGGAGGGAAACAAACTTGACAGCAAAATCCCAGAAGGTCTTGGCAGTTTGAAAAACCTTTCTGTTCTCAACTTGAGGAACAACCAATTGCAGGGTCCAATTCCTGCAGCTCTTGGAAACATTTCCACACTTACCCAACTTGACTTGTCACTAAATAATCTCAGTGATGGAATTCCAGTTTCTCTTGCTGATCTACCACATCTTAGCTTGATCCTTCACCATCTACAAGACCAGAAGTTCAACAGGTTCTGCAGCAACTAGAGGAGATTAGACCCGAAACAGCTGCCAGTTCCGGTGACGATTGAGCTGGAGCCCCTTCAGCAAGTGAGTGAAAACTGATTCCAGAAGTGGGGTTTGGTAGACATATTTACGAAGTCCAAGATTCTTTCATTCTTCGAAATTAATTTTGCTTTGTTACACTTACTTCGTCAGTGTCTGTAAATAGTCTTCTCTGGATTAATTTAAGAGCGTTTTTGCGATGTATTGAATGTTCTCACTATCTAGTGAACTGTTGTTTTGAAATCTCACTATCAATATTTTTGATATGCGACTGAGGTCGAAATTTCTAGCCTTTTTTTTGGGTCAATAATTTCTAGCCTTTTAGATGTTGCCCAAAGAAAATTGGAGGATGGTCAATGATGGGTCTGCGTTATTAAAAGAAGGGGCAATTCTTGCTTTCATTGTAGTAGATTCTGAGTTGTGATTGTAAATAGGGCCTGGGGATGAGTTGTCAATGGACCAGCGACCAGCCAAGTTGCATGGGAAATCTCACCATGAAAAACAACATAGAAGAGTCACACAGAACAAGGTTTGAGTTTTCCATAGACCTCATCGAAATTAAATCTTTTTTAAACGATTGATGTCTTTTGCATGTTGAGTCTCTATTTGTTCTCATTAATCTGCTAAGATGTCGTGCTCAAAACCTAAAGCAAGAAAACAAGCCCCTCTTTCAAGACAGTAATCCATTTTATCAAATGGGTGGAGAGAAATATTTTACATTAACCGCATTGGTCCCAAGCTAATCCAAAACTAGCGTCAAGTGTGGACTGCACAAGTTTCGATTTTCAATCAAACCTAAAAAAATAGTTGCATTATAATATTGAAGGTTGGAGAAAAGCACAAGAGTCTTCTATAGCCTATTTCAATTGGTTAGGATGAAAGTTTGTTGGGAATAATCACAAATGGGATGCTAATGTTTACACTACATGCATGAAATACAGAGAACGCAGAATAAAGAACTAAACACAAAAAATTTACTGCCAAATTGTCAGTTGCCGTCTCTCTCGTACGCGCTGGTTTCTTCCGCAAGCTTCTCCCAAGCATTTGCCATCTTTTCAGCGTATCCCGCCTGTTAAATGCAGAATACCAGCATAATTATTGTTCAAGGACTGACAAAATGGAGTTGGAATGCCATGTAAGGCGAAGAAACCTGTTAAGAACAATATGAGTTTCAGAACAGAACAAACCTGATTAAGAACAAATCCTTTCAACATGCCCATAAAGTCCTCGTGCCTCTCTCTGTCAACCCTTTCAAGCTCACTCCTGTTATTTTCCTGCATAAATGTTCACCAACAATCATAATTGCCATTTATAAAAAAACTCATCATGAATCAAATCTGTGCTTCCAAATCAAATTAAATTCGACTTAGTCCTCTCCTCATAGTTTGGCATTGTGTATAATCGAAACAGAGCTAAAATAAATATGCTTTACCAAAGAAGTCCAAGCATTGAAAGAGTAATAATCAAAGTACATAATAAAGAATGTTCAGCAATGCAAGCTGATTGCAATAGATAACACAAAGGGCAAAGAAACACCAGAATCTATTACTAATCCCTATATCTCGGTGTAAACCTTGGGTTTCATAGTGATTTTCCCCCTCCACTTAATGTCAGAAAAGTGGAATGACAAAGGGAAGAGGAAAGATGCGGTGCACAGGTTTTGTAGTTTGTTTAGAGAATGGCCGGATAATTTTACAAGATGGTCCAGCTGTACAAGCTTAACTTGGACCAAAACTCAGCATGAAGGAATGTTCAACAAAATTGGTTGACAGAAACCAGAAACAAGATACAAGATACAAAATCATCTCAAGTTAATGCATAAAAGCTCATTGTGTATGTTGCCACATTTCACCATCTAAAAGTAAATAACCCCCTACTGAAGTAGCGCAGGTCGCACATGCGTAATAGAAGGCAGACAAAAATAAGAAGAAGAGTTCCATCTCATAACTCTCTTATTAGTTTCTTGTTGTTTAAGTCATTAGTTTGCAACGTTACTAATCAAACATTTTAGAATAGTTATCTTTGTTGTTTTCTTCTTAATTAGTACTTCTGGCCTGTGCCTATGAAAACTTGTGCAACAATCATTTATTATGTAATCAAGAACATTTCAGAGAGTTTCACTCCATCGTTTCCTTGTGGATTCAAAGGCCTCCCAGTAGATTCCAGGATTTTATCTATTTGGGTATATGTTTGCTACTAGTACCTACCCTTGCTTCCCTTTGGTATCTGTTCTGTGTTGGTATCTACTGTCAAATTTATTCACAAGGCTTGTAAGTTTGAAACGACAATGCAAACATATCCAGGTGGATCTCATGATAACATCAGCAATGGTATAAGAAGAACTACTAACAGCCTCCTATGGTATATTTAGACAGGCATATACAAAAGCCATATACTTAACCACATAAGACTGCTAGATTGATTAATTATCAAACGCATAGGATACATTGTTAAAGAGAAAGAAGCATGGGAGATCTATAGAGGATGCTATTTATCATCAAAATGTATCTAGAAAATCAAGGATACAGACCGAATGGCCTATGTTTTAAATGGTTTGAGATGTTACCTTGATGCGTTCATATTCTCTGACTGCGCAAGCTTTAGCATCCTCACTGACTTTTAAAGTTTCTTTTAGCTCTTCTATTTTCCGCATCCTGGACCTGTCTCCACCAAATATTTTGGATGCTGCAGCTTCAAGCTTCTCAATCCTTGACTGCAAGGAAACTAATTCTGATGAAAGAGTCTGAACGGTCAGTAAAGCACTTGATCTGTCTGAAAAAGCACTATTGACTGCTAATATGACCCCGAGATATTCATGGAGTTTGTCCTGCAATAAATATGAAACATCCAGCGAAGGCAAATGAAGATTTAGTTTTATACGCGGATCAAAATTATTATATCAGTTAACTATGACTCCTTTTACACATAAAGTAAGTTCTCATAGTATGAGATATATAGCTAAGCAACCAATATATAGAAAAACTTGTTACCATACCAAATGCTTGACTGTTTGCGCATTTAACTCCCGGTACAATCGACTAGCTTTTACAGCAGCAGTAGCCACATTTTTCATGTCAGTGGCTCGTATTGTTTGTGATTGAAACATGGCTCCCTCGGTCTCAAGCTTGGTCAGCTTCACAAAGGCCAACCCCAATTCCCCCATAGTCTCACCCATGTCCTGCTGAGCTTTTACTAGTGATTCAGCCTGCAAAATGTATACATGGAAAATGAAAATCAATCCAACTATCCAGCTCACCAAATCCAAATAACCGAAAACCTCGCTCATTCTGCTGTGCCGTATACTCAGTTGCCAAATTTGTAACAGACAATTATCATCAACATAAATGGAAAATCTTTAACTTCTAAAATCCCTCAAGTGATCCTAGTGGCCCCAAAATGTTCCTTTCCTTATAAGATCAACATGATCACACTAATTCAGTTGGCAGTTGGCACTATCCAAATTTTCAAGTCCACCATAACATTTAAATGAACTAACATTTGGATTTGAACATACAAATATGTTGCCATTACCAGAAAGAATACATAAATACATCAGTGCTTTAAAATTAGTAAAAATACCTGCTGAGACAAATTGCTAAGCTGTTGCTCAAACTCCGCCACCTTCTCCTTCCTCTCCATAAACTCCTTATCCTCCTCAACCACCATAGGCTTCACCCCGCCCCAATCGTTCACCACCGACTGTCTCAACTCCCTGAAGATCCTCAGCAAGTCCCTGCCGCCCTTGGCCGGCTGCGCCGCCTCATTCACATCCGTCACTGCCGCGGCCTCTCCAGTCAACTGCCTCGGTAGCCTCACGGCGCCGTCGAGCATCCTCGACGCCATGTCAACGCTCTTCGCTAGCGGCAGCTTCCCCCTCACCACCAAAAACAGCCTCAGCTCCTCGCTCTTCTTGAGCGTCGGATGCACCGCGAGCTTGTTCAGGTACTTGGACAATGCAGCCCTCCGCTGCTCCACGAATTGCTCGATTTGCATCACTTGGCTCTCGACCACGCTCTTATCGGGTCGGATCGGGATGACAAACCCACGATACGACTCGGACAGCCGGTCCGATAGAGTCACCACGTCCTTGAACCGCCTCCGGACGGTGAATTCGGATCCGGGTCCGCCGTACTCGGGCATATTGGTCCGGGTGGTGATCAAGTAGGTATAGTACGAGGTCCCGCCGGGGACGAGCGAATTGGTGAGCTCAAGCTCCTTCTCAGGGTCAGAGACCCATATCTTGAGGAATTCGGAGCGGGTCGGAGGGTCCGATTGATAAGAGGGCTGCTTGGGGTTTTCTTGGCCGTTGGATGAGGAGGAATCGAATGAGGTGAAGACGGCGTCCGCGTAGGACGGGGGCTCGAGGATGGAATTGAAGTTCTGGGAGGTGGAGGAGGTGGTGGCGGTGGTGCTGTGGCGTTCGACGGAAGCCGATGCGGAGGGCGAAGATTGGCCGTTGGATGACGGCGGCGGCTCGTCGAGGACCAGAGATTCCATGTCATCTTGGGATGCGTGCAAGTTCGCCCCGTCATCGCCATGATTTTCTTGCTTCATCATTTTTTGAATTTTGGGGAAATTAATAATTAAATAAATTTAAATAAGTAAAATAGCAAGGTTGATGAGGTGAAGGAGAAGATGAGGAAGGTGGTGGTGGTGGAGCTGCATGTGAAATCGGGCATTAGACGTCAAGGCAGTGAGGTAGTAAGTCACTGAGTCAAGTGACTCGGGGCGCGCCAAGTGGGAACCCTCTTCGCATACCTGGTGTGGTGCTGTTGGACTAATTATTTGTTGCCATGGGATGCGATGACGCTGCTGCCGCCACGTCGGCTGCCACGTGGGCCGCCACGTCGGCTGCCATGTGGGTGTTTATAAAATTGCTTGCTAACGTTGGGCTTATTTTGTGCTCTCAGAGTTGGGCCTTTGTTTAGGGACTCGGGCTAAACTAAAATCCAACATCGGTCCGTTATTTTTACATCGACTGGATCACGATAAGGTGGTTGGGCTGAAATGTAAGAAACCCGGAACCCAAAAAAAAAGTGGGCCGCACTTCATCGTATTGGATGAAAAATACGCTTGTCAAATTAAATGGTCGTTACTATTTCAATAGTGGAGTCATTTTAGAGCATCTTCAAGAGAGATGTCAAATACCAAACATCAAATTTAAATTTAATGACTGATGTGGCAATTTGACATCTTAGAGCATCTCCAACCGATGTGTCAAAAGTACCACATAGACATTTAACGGCTAGAAATAACATCTCACATCACTCCAACCGATGTGTCAAAGCTGATGTGGAATGAAGGTTGGAGGTTGAGATGTTATTTTTGACATCCCAAAAGTAAGATGTCAAATGAATATTTTATTATTTTTAAAAGATAGCTGGCTGTTACTTTCATTTATTATTTTCCTTTTTTTATTTTTTCTTTTTTATCTTAAATGATTTGACTGTTACAATAATTATTTATTTGACATATTGGGTGGAGTGTAAAACTATGTAAATGTCAAATTGTCATATCAGCCATCAAATTTAAATTTGATGTTTGGTATTTGACATCTCCCTTGGAGATGCTCTTACATAGCTTTACACTCCACCTAATATGTCAAATTAAATTATTATTTTATTACATTTTAGTGTTGATTTACTTTTAATTTAAAAAAAAAAAAGAAAAGAAAAGATAATAAAATATTCATTTAACATCTTACTTTTGGGATGTCAAAAATAACATCTCAACCTCCAACTTTCTTTCCACATCAGTTGGAGTGATATGAAATGTTATTTCTAGACGTTAAATGTCTATGTGATATTTTTGAAACATCAGTTTGAGATTCTCTTAAATAAGTCAAATAAAAAAAGCTTTACTTTACACAGGTCGAAGACCTATCTTCTCAATTTATATATCTCCTATAATGATAATACACATATCAAATTTACCGATTTAAAAATCGTGGCTAGAAGAATAATTTGACAAAACAAGGACCCAAACTTACCTTTATGTTGCTCTCATTAACTGTTTTGTGAGGTGAATGCTCTCTGGGTTAGTAGTCCATTGAATAATTGCTTAGTAATGAAACTTTGAAACTTGGAACTTGGAACTTGTAAGGAAGCACGTAACAAAGTTTAGCAGATATTCTTGATGGATTAATTGCTTAGTAATGAAAACTTTGAACTTTGACACTTACATTTTGCACATCCTAAAAAGAAAAAGTAATTAAGCCCCATTTAGCGTGAAAAGGTTATTAAGCCAAGCCCCAATTTTGGATCAAGCCAAGCACCAATGATGGAAATATAGAATTGCAATTAACTTCACACCCACCTACAACTACCAATGAAAACGATCGAAACCCCAAGAAAAAGAAGCAGATGGAAAATTATAATAAACAAAGAAAAATGAAAAGAAAAAAGGAAGCCATAGCTGGTAAAGGCTTGAGACACAAAAAGAACACCAGATGCACAAGTTTGACATGGAAGTACATGTGCTGTGTGTCTGGTCTTCAATCAATTTGTATTAATTTGCTTTAATAACGACTTATCTTGTACTTATTATACTTAATTTAGAATATTTGTGTGTTAAAAAGGTCAATAACAAACTCTACCAACTTGGTGTCAATTGCTATCATTGAATCTGGTTCACCTATCCAATCCAATTCTTCCTCCTCCTCTTCCTTCTCCCTTTCACTCTCAGTTGGATCGAATTCTGTTGTGTTTTGACATGCTTACATTCAAAGTGATTAACGGTTTTGTCACCTTGTCTCTCTGTAATTTTCTAATTACCAAACCCCCCCACTTAGCATTATCAACTCTTATTACTAAATAACACACCAAATTAGCCTCCATATAGCCTTAAAGCAAATCAAAATTAAGAAAAATGAATTTGGACTCGAACCCAAAGAAATAAATTAGTTTATTTATTTATTTATTTACGAGTAATACAACACGTACTACATATTTCACAAAGACGAGACGCAGTTCCGTAAGTAAATTTATCTCACTTCCTTCTGTAAAAAAAAAAAGAAGTGATTTTAATGATATTGGTAATACGTATGGTTGTTCTATTCATTTGCCTAGAAAAGAAGTAGAGTTGACAAAACCAATGAAAATGTGGTAGCAATTTCTGTTGTTGTCTATGTCACCGCACATTGAAACACGAGAAACAAGATCATAGATGATCCATGTATTATGCATTGTGACAGGCTACCTAATTCGTACATGTTAAATTGTATGTTAACTGAATTGTGGTTGGACGCAATCAAATCTTCTTTGTAATTAAGGCATTCTACGCATGCCACCTAATTATAGAGATGACTTAATCTACTCGTTTTGGCAGCTTTATTTGATCATCAACGTTGCCCCACATTTAACCATTTAACAAAAGATTAAATTGAAAACCTCAATCCCCTGCACTCCACCGTCTCTCTCTACTTGTCTCTAACCAACTAAATGTCATCGATCGTGACGTAGTCCAACATCATTGTGGGCCCCTTCCTTCTCTTGAAACCCCGAAAAAGAAAACTTTTGTTGTTTAAAAAAAAAAAAGTATAAGCGATAGTCTAAATTATATAAAATGGAATTTCGGAATTTCTCACACACACAACTACTAGCATAAGAATTCTAATTAATTGATAGATTAGGGCTCCTCATTTTGATTGAGTATTATATTACGACATCTCCAAATGAAGCATGGGTGACTTAATTTTGTGGGAATAAAATCTCAAAAGAACACTCAATCCCTCCGATAATTCTAAAGATGATCGATAACTTCTCCACTTTTCCCAAAAGCATGGGCTTTTGCTCTAGGCATGTTAATTAATTGATTAATCACTTTCTGATTTCCACCATTAGGAAAGAAAAAAAGATGGTTTGACAAATTCATGCAAAGATTATAAATTTTATACTCTTTCCCTCTGGCAACCTTCCAGAAAAGGTCAACAGAGAAAGTGACTAATAATATCGATCTGTTATATATTTGGGGTAGCTTAGGTATTGTTTAGAAATGATTAGCGATTATCTTAATTACGAGTTTAGCATAGGGATGCTAATGATTTTGCGATCAAGAGTTAATTTGGCGTTGAAGGTTGATCTTTGTTGTTCATGGGTTTGATTTGACTATTATAATTACGTGTTTGGCCTTGGGACATAAAAGATGATGCATGCAAAAAGGTCATATGTCGTAGAAGAAATACAATATAAGAATCAAGCTTTAATTCTTTGCAGATTAATGCCTTGTTGAAAGTATTCAATCCAGGAAAGAAGACTTGTGAAGCAAGCGTATTTAAGAAAAATAATTCACTTTGAATAGGCCAGTGGGTGCAACAACTCCTATAGGGTTGAACTAAGTTTGCTCAGGAATCTGACCATTTTGCTAATCAAAACCTAATCTGCCAACCTCGAACCACAATGTCTCTCCTCAAATCTTCCTATAAAAGAAGCCCACTTTCTATCACTTTGTCATTCAACTCACCACCTTCAGCACTAATATCATTCAAACAAAGGTTAAGGGGTTGATTAGCAGCTAATAGCTAGCTTCGCTAACACAGATATGGAGGCACTCGACAGCATTTTCGGCAACAAAATTCGATGCTCGTTACTCTTAGGCCTTTGCCTTCTGTTTGCTTCATCAGCAATGTCCTTGGCAGAGCCCAAAACTCACCAACATGACTTTGTTGTAAGTTTAATTTGTATCTCTTAAGTGTTTATATATTATGTTTTAGCCCCCTTAATTTCATTTTTCTCTCTAATTAGATACTGATTACTTGGATAAAATTCGGATTAACAGATTCAAGCAACACCAGTGAAGAGGCTGTGCAAAATCCAAAACTCCATCACAGTCAATGGGCAATTCCCTGGACCAACCTTGGAAGTTAACAATGGTGACACTCTCGTCGTCAAAGTCACCAACAAAGCTCGTTACAACGTCACCATCCATTGGTAACTAATCTGCATGCATGCATGCATGATTCATTCTTCTTTCTTGTTTCTTCATTTCCTCAATTAAACATGATCTTATATTCATTGATGTACATTGCAGGCATGGAATTAGGCAAATGAGAACTGGATGGGCAGATGGACCTGAATTTGTGACTCAGTGCCCAATTAGGCCAGGAGGGAGCTACACCTACAGATTTACAATTCAAGGCCAAGAAGGTACTTTGTGGTGGCATGCTCACAGCTCATGGCTTAGAGCCACTGTCTATGGAGCACTTATCATTCATCCAAAACAAGGAGACTCCTACCCATTCACTAAGCCGAAACGCGAAACTGCCCTTCTTCTTGGTGAATGGTGGAACGCGAACCCCATCAACGTTTTGAGGCAGTCAACCCGGACTGGAGGAGCTCCTAATGTGTCTGATGCATACACCATCAATGGTCAACCTGGTGATCTTTACAATTGCTCGAGCCAAGGTAATTTCCTTCTACCCCCTAACCTAATCAATACCCAAAAATTATAAATTTCACATTTATATACTAATTAGAGTCGGCGACAACTGACTATAATAATTGATGTAGACACATGATGCGATCAACTAATTAACTTTGTCTCTGATGCTATGCAGACACAATCATAGTTCCTATAGACTCCGGTGAGACCAACCTTCTTAGAGTCATCAACGCTGCCCTCAACCAACCTCTTTTCTTCACTGTGGCAAACCACAAACTGACTGTTGTTAGTGCTGACGCCTCCTACACCAAACCTTTCACCACCACAGTCCTCATGCTAGGACCCGGCCAGACAACCGATGTTTTGATCACCGGTGACCAGCCACCAGCC